CCACCGCTAAAGTCCCAGTTGAAACTGAAACCAAAGTGGTGGAGGAGGAGCCCAAAAGTGAGGTAGAACAAGAACCCACGACAGAGACAATCGATCAAGAAGAGGTGACGGCTGCTGAGGAAACTAAGGAAGAAACTCCGGCGGCAACTGAGGCAGTCGCTGAAGACACTCCGGCGGCAACAGAGGAGTTACCTGAAGAAACTCCGGTGGTGACGGAGGAGCTCAAAGAATCTGTGAAGGAAGATGAAAAACCAGCTGAGGTTGTTGCAGCAGAGGAATGAAGATTTAAGAGAAAGAGAGAGATGTTACTTTCTATTTTTAGCATGGTCGATGTTTGGTTTCTTTTTTGTTAAATCTTTCAAAAGCAAAGTGGCAGTAGATGATTGGTGAGAAGTGGGGGGTACCGCTTTGGCTTTTGAGTTCTACTTTTCAAGAAGTTTTCAATATGATTTATTCTATATATGTTTGCTTTTAATTTTTGAATATCAAAATGTATTCGATATTTCATGCAAAATCCTGTCAATTTTTAAAGTAGACAAAAAAAAAAAAAAAAAGTCCCGGCTATAACAAAGGGTCAAGATGAGACTAACAGAATAAGAACATAAACATACATACGAACAAATCAGAATTAGAAACCATGTTTAGATTAATTATCAATCATGTCGTTACAAAATAAAAGATTTCGCTTATTGTATGTGTTCGAATACGATGAATTTAAATAAATATTAAAAGTGGAGCTTTTGCTAAAACTGATGGGAATGAATTAAGCAGAATTATGAAGCAGAAATAAATAAAAGAGCTTTTAGCTAGGCTTTATTCCAAAATTTCAATACAATGTTTCACTTTCATTAAATAGAAGAGAGACGACGATATGTTAATGTTTCCTGTTCGCTCAAGATCTGTAATGGTTCCTTTTATCCTGTTTAAACACAAGTTATATATGTTAATTTGTTATAAATCAAAAATATACATTGCTTTGTGATTATCTACAAAGAAATAATCACGAGTATCAACATGGTCTATTGATGTTTTACCTTTGTCTCAAACATTTTAAAATGAAGTTAACTTAAATTCGAATCTCATCCCTTTGAGTCATATTTGTTAATTTCTTTTAAATATATGTTGAAATTGATTGAACACTAATTTATTAAACAAAATAGCACTAAAAATAAATCATGTATACTAAAAAAACAGTGACCATCCACAAATAAAAATAAAATCAGTAGAAGCATTTTACAAAATACAAAATACAAAAAGAAAAAAGAAAACCTTAAAATATATAAATTTTGAACTAATTTGGTTTATTGAGGAGGCACACTCCCCTATTGTGAGGTCGCCCTTGAATGTGTGTATGTGTGTGTTTTGTGGTCGTAAGGTACATTGGGGAGGATGCATAAATTTCTAGTAACAGTCGCATCTAAAAAAGAAAATTCTAACGTATAGTAATTTGATTGTTAGTGTTTTTTTAGATAAAAGTGTTTATTTCTTTATAGTGATAGTAAAAAAAGTTTTTCTAAAAAGTGTTCGGATAAGTTTTTATAATAAAAATGCCAATAAATCAATAATTTAAAAAATATTTGGGTTAAAAAATGTTTTTTAAGTTATTTTTATCATGTTTTACACTCTTACTAAAAAGTGTTTTTTTTAACTTATTGAAAAGCTATTTTGGATGAAAATCCATTCGTATTCACATGAAACATGTAAAAAAATTTATATTATCATGTAAGGGCATGATTATCTTACACAAGATATTTTTTATAATCATTACCTTACAGAAACAATATTTTCATATTCAAATATTCGTATGAAAATTAAAGTTTTTTCTTATGATGGGTGGACATGATTACCTAACAAAAATTGTATCTTATATTCATTTTCACATGAAACTTGTAAATTGTTTTTACCTTATAAAAACTCTTATTTACGATTCACGCACATGAACCATGCAATTGTTCTTCCATATTATAGATAGAAATAAATACCTTACAAAAACTATTTTTTGGTATTTGATATTCACATGAACCATGTCAAATTTATTGGTTATGATGGGCTGACATGATTACGTTACAAAAACCCTTTTCTAAGATTCATGCGTATTAAGCTTTGCAATTTTTTTTCTTTATGATGGATGGACATAATTATCTTAAATTATCTCTTTTGGAGATTTATATTCACATGAACCATGTTAATTTTTTTTTTCCATCTGATGGATGGGCATGATTATATCACACAGACCGTTCTATGAGATTCATATTCACATAAACCATGTAAATAACATTTTTATGATGGGTGGACATTATTCTCTTACATAAAGCGTTTTAGGATTTTCATATTAATTAAATCATGTAAAATTTTCCCTTAAGTATCGATATGATTACCTTTCCAAAATTATTTTATAGTATTCATTCACATGAACCATGTAAAAGTTTTTCATTATTATTGGTGGACATGATTACCTTACTAAAGCTATGTTCTAAGATTCATATGTTTTCATGTGAACTATATAAATTTTTTTCTTATGACATATGGACATGATTATTTGTAAAAATCATTTTTTGAAATGCATATTCACATGAAGTATGTAAGATTTTTCTTTACGATGGGTTGACATGATTATGTTACAAAATTTGTTTTCTGAAATTTAATTCACATGAACCATGTAAAGTTTTTTTTTTCTTTGATTATCTTATAAAAAACATTTCCTGATATTCACATGTAAAGTTTTTTCTTGGAGTCATATTCATTGAATTATGTAAATAATTTTTACTAATAGATATAATTACCTTACGCAAACCCTTTTTTTGGTATTTATTTATGTGACATTTCACCGGTTATCCTACTAATTTATAAATTGGCTGCGAAGCTGTAAACTTTATTATAAAATTGGTCCTATTTTATTACAAAATATGTTTTATAATATATATATATATATATATATATATATATATATATATATATATATATATATATATATATATATATATATATATATTATATATATATATATATATATATAAGTAATGTAAAACATGTAAAAGAATTTTAATGAATTTTAAGAAAATAACTTTTTTCTAATAATATTAGGAACAAACTAATAAAATTTATAATTTAATATTTACTTATAAAAAAAAAGTTGGATATATGAAACCCTTTATATCAGTTACATGGTGTAATGGATATAAATTCAAAAGTTAAATGATATTGGTGCTAAAAATATGTTAAGTGAATAACTAATTACAAAGACAATAGATAATAGTCCAAATTCAACCTAATCCTAGTTTGATTGATGCTTAATACATAATAATATATCTTCATTCACCGTCATTAGAGATGGCAATTCCCACCTATTTATATGAAAATTTCATTATATATATATATATATATATATATATATATATATATATATATATATATATATATATATATATATATATATATATATATATTCATGTGAACTATTATATTTTATGAGACCAAGAGACACAATCATAATTACTTATTTTATAGATAAAAAAGCATTTTTAAAATATAAAATAATTAAAAGTTATCAAAAAAAAATTTAAAATATTATTTCTATCACTTTCTTTATCCAAAAAAAAAGATAAACCTAATTACGATTTTTTTTTTAAATATTTGTGAAATATTCTACTATAATATTAAAATATTAGAATATTTTAATACAATATTAGAATATTTTTCATATCTAACAAATCTGTTAGAATAATAGAATATTCTAACACTTTAAAAATCGCATTGTAATATTTACAGTGTAATATTATATTAGAATAATTAACGTGTTTTTCACAAAAAAAAAAAAAAAAAAAAAAAAAACAGCATTTTTTTAGCTAAAGAAAATGACAAAAATAATAAATTAAAAAAGAATTTTCGGATTTTTTGTTTTATTTTGCAATTTAAAATTATCTTTGGATTGTGTCTTACAGTCTTACAAAATTAACAAGGTCTCAAAAAAAAAATATATATATATATATATATATATATATATATATATATATATATATATATATATATATATATATATATTGGATAAAGAGATCAGCTAAAACGTATTCCACTACACAAATAATATTACCATTGGTAATATTATTTCCGAAATCATGTTTAAAACAAATCGTATACGAACTCAAAAATAATAATAATAATAATAATAATAATAATAATAATAATAATAATAATAAAAAGATGTCCAAAGTACTACAGCTTGTGAAAATAGTTATTTATAGAGTAAATTACACGAATGGTCATTATGGTTTGGGGTAATTTATTTATTTGGTTTCTAAATTATTTTTTTAAATCGAAAAGTCTCTACTGTTTGTTTTTATTGCGTGTTTGGTGCCTATCTTACGTAAAAAGATTATTTTGTCCTTTATTTTTTAATTTATTTAAATAAATATACCCCCAACCTCACTTCCATCTTACCTTACCTTATCTTACATATCCCACCTTATTTAAATAAATTAAAAAATCAATGAAAAAATAGTATTTTTTAAGTATGATATGGACCAAACGCGTAGCAAAAACAAACTGCATGCACCATCCGAGTTAAAAAATTAAGTTATAGACTAAACGTGCAAATTACCCCAAACTATAGGCACCATTCGTGTAAGTTACTCTTACTTATAATATTTTTCAAATATTTTACGACTTTTAAAGAACAATTAAAGAGTAAAGGGTGATATGCATTTGAAAGTCTATAAATAGGTCTTATTTCACTCACTTCACTCTCAATTCTTAAACGCACTCTTACTTTTCACATTAATCATCCCATATCCTTCTAAGAATTTCCAATGGCAAGTTTTGAGGTATTTACTTAACCTTGTACCACATTATGCTGTTTAATTATGTGATTTTAAATAATTAAAATCTTTCTAAAAGTGATCAATAAGGGTGTTTTTGAACGTTTAATGGATGTTTCAGGTTGAATCAACTATAATCACTTTGTCAGAGAAAGTGGAAACTTTAACCACCCCTGAAGCACCGAAATGGAGCCAGTGATTGTTGCACCAAAGCATGTGATTGAGGAGTCACTAGAAGAAACCATAGTAGATGCTCCTCCACTCGTAGAGGAGCCACAACCCCTCATCTTCGAAGCCCCAATTGAGACAAGATCCAAAGTAGTGGATGAGGAGCCTAAAAGTGAGGTAGAACAATAACCTAAGAAAGAAACGACCGATTAAGAAGAGGTGATGACTATTGAGAAAACCAAGGAAGAAACTCTGGCAACGATGGAGGTAGTGCTAAAAGATACTCTGCTGACAATAGCAGAAGACAATCAGGTGGTTGTCTTGGAAGAGACTATGGTGATCGAGGAAATGAAAGAATGTATAGAGAAAGAATAAAAAGCAGTTGAATTTTTTACAACCACTAAAGAATAAAGAGATGTTACTTTGTTGTTTTAGTATGGTCGAAGTTCAGTTTTTATTTTGTTAAATCTTCAAAATCCAAGTGGCAATAAATGAAGACCCTTCTTTGGGTTTTGTGTTCAACTAAGAGTTTTTAAATATGATATATTATAGACAAAATTACATAAATGGTCCATATGCTTGTCAAAATGTTTTAGGATTGATCATTATTTAACACCCAGTTTATTTATTAGATAAATAAATAAATAATTGAAAGTTTACAGGGTTAAAAAAATATAATTTCCGGATTAGTTATAAAGAATTTGCGAAGGTAGGGGCTACTTGGTAAATTATAGGACACAAATTGAAGAGATTTTGGAGGATAAGGACTAAATGGTAACCTATAGAGTTGATTTGTAAAGAATTTCAGAAGGAGGGGTTAAAAAGGTAAATTGCATTTGAATAAAAAGGGGCATGGAGGGACTGTTATTGCCATTATGGAAAACCTTTGAATGGAGCCGGGTATAAAGGGTTAAGAAAACCCTAACCCTAACTCATTTTCTCTCGGCCGTCGACTTCACTACCCTCGTGCTCTCCTTCAGCTGCCACTCCCATTTACTCCACCTCCGACGCCGCTATCTCTTCCTCTATTGTAGATGCCGGAAACCACCAAGGTTATTGTGTTATTTATACATCGGTGAAGATGCCCGTTTTGTTGTTTCGTGGCCACCGAACCACCATCTAGTACCGTTGACATTCCTTATGCTAATGACGACGAAGACCATCAGCGGGCTCCGTCCCTCCGTCGCAACCTTCTCTCCCCATGTCTCTTCATTTTTTCTTCAGTGCAACACCCGAAGCCGCCTATCGTCGCTGTTGTTACCACCTTTAGCCGCCCGGTTTCCGATAATGATGTTGTCGCCGCTGATGCTGTTGTCATCGTGTTTTGATGTCGCTGTCGCCGAAATCATAGTGCACCACAGTGGGTGCTGTGACAACCCGTAATTTCCATTCTGTACGAACATTATCAAGTCAATAGAAGTTATAACAGTCACAGTAAATTTTCTGACTTTTCCGTATAAGTTTGAGTATTTCAGGGTTTACACTTAAGGAGATATCAGGAGAGTGGATGCACTAGGGTTTTGTGCAACTCTATTTTTCTAAAACTCTATTACATTAGAGTTCATTATGGGAATGAAATATTTCCTTCTAAAAATCTCAAGACTATATATAGAATTTTGAGCCATAATCATTCATTTGTTGCATTTCCAACTAGAGAAAATCCATTTCTCTCCCACGGATCTTCGAGTTTTCATCCGAAATCGTGAGTACCTTTCTCTAGTTGTATTATATGGCTTATAATGTGCTTAATAACATCAATTTCATAACAATACAACTAGATTCGGGAGTTTACCTCCCAAGAACACCTTGGGGAGTAAACTTCTAAAAAGATACCTACTCATTCCTACGTGATTTGTAACTACCTTAGGCTTGTATACTATATGAATTGAAATCACCCCAAGAACACCAAAGTTTAGGTGTTCACGGCCCAAGAAGTTCTTGGACCGTGAACTCCAAAAACAAGGACCAAAGAGTGCTTTTAACAATCCTAAAGCCTTGGACAAATACCTATATTTACTCCTAGTTAATTTAAGCTCTTGAAAACATCAAAAACCCCTCCCAAAGTGAGGTTATAGCCCTAATATGGTTCTTGGGCCGTGAACATCAAACAAGGGCACCAAAGTGTGCCTAAGGCCTTCATTTGCCTTAGATAAATGTCGAGAACCTATCCTACATGTGCATGGGACTTGAAAGCATAAAAACACCCCTTCCATGTGAGTTTACAACAGTAAACTCCAAAGGAATTGGCCTTGGGGCTGTAAACTCCTCAAAGGAGGTTATTAGTGCCCCAAACCCCTCCAAGAATTAATCCACCAAGTTGGAATGCTTCTAGGGATCATTTAGAACCTCAAAACACAAAATAACCCCAAGCTTAGGAGTTCACGGCCGTAAACACAAGGATTTATGACCGTAAACTCCTTGTGTGATGTTTAGGGAAGAGTAAACTCATGTATAGGGTCCTTTGGAACCCTAAACCCAATTGCCTTGTCCCACAACAACTTAGATGCAATCCCTAGGGATTATAACACTTATATAAAGTGTTTATTATGTTATAGGATGTCTTAACATTTACAATTAGTAGTTTAAGACTAATTGGGTGCATATATGTGTGATTATATGTTCATTAGGATCATAGTGTGTGTACAAGTCCTCACTTAACACTTAACAATCCGACACCATTCAGTACATCCAAACCACCATCTACATGTGAGTTCATACCCCTTAATCTATGTTTTAACTGATTTTAAATGCTTTGATGGGGGGGGGGATACAAGTAGAAAACAACATGTTATTAAATCAATCATATGTATTTATAACTGTGTTTTCATTCAGCATATTTCACATACTACAAAATGTGATGCATGAAATGGTTTTATACCTTAAAAATAACTTGATAGCAAAAGTATTACGTTTGAAATGTTTATTAAAATGACATCAAGTCATTGTTAATTATTGTTCAAAACTCCCAGATGTCTTACAAAACCATTTTTACCTTCTTGAACAAAACTATATGTATACATTTATATTCTTTTATATGTATTGATGTTATAGTTTTCATCCTTCATTCAGTTTCCCCACACTCTTGTGTACCAAGGGTGTATAAGCCTGTTTGGACAATCAATTACCTTCCAATTAATTATTATAGGGATAGTTAGAAGATACAAAACATTATTCCTATTACAAGGAATCACACAAGAGTCAGTTCATTCATGAGTCTATACCAGTACATTACATGATACACGAGTACATTTACATATGCTTACATGATACATGAGTACGTTTACATATGCTTACATGATACATGAGTACATTTACATATGCTTACATGATACATGAGTACGTTTACATATGCTTACATGATATATGAGTACGTTTACATATGCTTACATGATACATGAATACCTTACATGAATACTTTACATGAATACTTGTATCTCGATTCATGAGGATGATTTATTAGTACCTTCTGTGTAAATTGTCCTGCTTATCCCAGTTCAACTGGATATCTAGACAGGACTAACCATTCTGAATCCCAGCTGATTAGCACTAGTGGTTGATGAACATCTACGGATGCCTACGGTTATTAAGTACAGTTACGGGACTAACCATTCCTCGGGCCAACTGTTTGCTACAGAGGTTGATGAACATCTACGGATGCCTACGGATAATACTTATATTAGGAAATCGATTACAGGACTAACCCTTCCTACCCCATCCTGCTGCTACAAAGGACAATGGACAATCTTTGGATGTACATTAGGTTATACATTTCGCTTACCGCGATGTCGTGTTAGTCCTAGTACCAAAGGATAACACTTACATTAGTACATTTTCCTATTTACTTTATTTTGTGATACATTCACATAAACGAGGAGTTAGACTAAGTACTTTTAGTACTAGTCAATAGAAATGAAAAACTATCATTTTACTTACAAAACATTCGGGTCTTGGTAGAAGACTACATTTCATACTAGTAGGAAATAAGGGATTTTCTAGGGTTTTCATACTTATATCAACTGTTTCATTCAAAGATTTACATAGCATACATAACAAATTTCCAAAACAACACAATGACATTTAAATACTTATAAATTCACTACCTTTAGTCTGATACTCGCTTTCAAAATAACTTGTATTCTCAGGTCACCAGTAGACAGGTACGATGGCCAGGTTTTGAGAAGACGGAGCACAAACAAGACTCGTCTTGTATTTTGATTATATATTTTGGTGTCTTATTACAATGAAAGAACACATATGTATTAAAACTTTACTTTTAATGCAATGGATGATATTGTTGCTTGTTTACTACTTTACACTGTTGTGATACTGTATATGACATCCTCCACCGCGGAACATTTCCGCCGTTCTTGGTTTTAGGGTGTCGCAGATTGGTATCAGAGCATTGTTTATAGTGAATATAGTATATCAACCCATAAAAGATATACTAACTATAGATACATTGGGATTAAAACACTCGGTCTAAGAGTTATACTTATAAATAATAAAATATTTAAGTAAGTATACGTGCCTGCATTCATACTAAAACCAGTGTCAAAATGACAAGAACAAAAGTATTACGATTGTTGAATATCACAAGTAAGCCTGGGGATATATGGTCAGTCTTAGGAATGGCATAGCCTAATCAACTATGCTGGTCCAAGGAGTGATTAGCATATGCCCAAGAATGGTTGTGATGTAGCAACAAGTCTAAAAACTTACCAACAAAACCATAAAGAAATACCATAAGGGTATTTGGTCTTATTGTAATTATCTTAGTTGGTTCGCCTATTTAGCTATTTCTTATATCCCTTTTCTCACGTAGATTAAAATGGTTGGATTTCACCATGGCGACCCGTACTTCCCAAACCAAGGCAACGCTGGATGGCAAGAGGAAGAACCAGAAAATGATCACCCAATCCCTTTGGATGATCACCATGCTGAGGGTTTTTCCGAAAGTTCTGACTCGGAGCCTGAAGTCAACAACCTACCCCTAGCTGCTCAAAACCCAAACCTGAACCCCCATCCTGCATTTCAAGGACCCACACCTCTGTAGGCCACAAACTTTAATACATGGAGTCAGGAACAGGGTCAACCTATCCCCTACAATAGAGACAGAAGCTTCTACAACCTTACTAAGGGAGGTTCTGATGACAAGGTCCTACCCATCATGATTCGTAGGATTTCTCGGAACACAATACTGGGTCAATAAACTATCAATCGAGTCTTGGAGATTGACACCAACTCTGGCGTTAACACAGTCCGCATTCGCTAACTAGAGTTTTCTCACGAAAGGACTCTGGTCCGCAATGTAGCTTTGCAGAGGGAACTTGCTGAAACTCAAGCTGAAGTTAGGGAACTTCGAGCTCAGCAAGCAAGAGCTGATAGGCGTATGGAGGACATGGAACGTCTACTATCAGGATCAAGGACTCATGCTAGCAGTTCTCGTCGCCAATAGAATCTCGTCGACTCATCTTTTGAATATAACCTAGTTTATCTAAAAACTTTGGTCTAATTTCCTATCTTTGTAAATCTTAGACCTGTTAGGTCTTGATCTAGTCATAGTTCTATCAAAAAATTTCAAATCTTGGTTGATGTAAGGCCAAATTGTAGGCCATTTTCCTGAACTTGTTACATCTATAATCCCAATATTATTGATAGATATCTAATCATATGGAAATTATTATCCAAATGATGTCATCTTCATTTAGTCATACTATTCATTTTGTTGTTGGACTATGGGGAGTTAGTCCATGAGACAGATCATTATTCATTTATTCTTATCCATGTCGTCATCTTTTAAACGTATAGTTAAAGATGCCGCCACGCAGGAATCCTAGGCGTAACCCAAAAAACGAAACACCGATACCACCACCTCAACCTCCTCAGCCACCTTTTCCTTTCGATGCCACTATGTTCCAGGAATCCTTCACAGCAGCAGTAGCAGCTGCTATGTCAGCCATCAATACTCCTGTCCCTAGTGGATCGGGAACAGGTGTACTTCCCTCAAACCACAGCGAAAGCCATGGACACCCTCAGGAATGCACCTACAAGGACTTCACAAACGCCAAACCCCGCAGATTCAATGGAACTGGGCATGTTATGGTGTTGAGACAATGGATTGAAAAGATGGAATCTGTCTTCAAAATCTGCGCTTGCCAGGAGGGCAGCAAGGTCATGTTTGCAGCTTATACCTTCTCTGATAGAGCACTAACATGGTGGAACAGTCATGTTAAATATCTGACTCTGGTGGTGGCATATTCCATCAGCTGGGAACACTGGAAGGACATGTTTATGAGAGAGTAATGTCCTCGGGGAGAAATACAAAAAC